ACACAAATGCAAGGGGGGGAAGTGGAGACAATGAGGCAAAGGGCAAGAGGGGAGGTGTCAGTGGGAGGGGGGACAGGGTGATGCTGGAAGAGAGGGTAAGGGCATTGGGGATTGGAGGGGGAGGTGCTGAGAGAAGGCTTGACAGAAGGGGTAGGCATGAGGAATGTGGGGTTGGAGCAAGTCATGTGTGAGGGCACAGGGGCATGAGGGGAATGGGGGCAGAGGGTGGTGAGGGGATGGGCATCAGGGGAAAAAGGACAAAGGGGGCAGGGGCAGTGAGGGAAGGGGGAGGCACCAGGAGGGTGCAGGGGGAAGGTGAAGGTGCCAGGGATTCTGGGGGTGAAGCAGAAGGGCAGACACCTGCAGGGAAGGGACCAGCACCAGAGGAGAGAGGTGAGGGAGGTGTTAGATGAAGGGATGAGGAGGGGTAGCTCACATGATCAGAGTGGGGCTACTGGAGGAGTGGGCACAGGGGGCAGAGAAGAGCTGGTGGAGGGGGGCAGGTTGCAGGAGGGCTGAGGGCAGTGAGAAGGGCAGGAATCAGGGCAGCAGGGGAGGGTGAGGAATTGGGGGGCAGCAGGCACCAGGGGAGCTGACGGAACAAGGGGAGGAGACATGGCAGCAGAGAGAAAAGGTAAAGTTTTATACAATATTTATTAATAACTTGGGTGCCACAGTGGCACATCCAAACAAGCCACATGAACACTTGTGCACAACATAATTCATTCTGCTCATGGGAGGAAACTCTTAGAGAGAAACTAGAGGGGCCAAACTAATCCCTATTGGTAGGTGGATGGTGGGAAAAGTCCTTGGGTTGGGGGTCACACGACACTTTTTACTTTTGGTCATGTGCCCATCTTGCCTGGAGAGGGTTACTTCCAGAGCCGTGGCTAATGGGGGTCAGGTGCATGGTTAATGGGGGTTAGGGATGTGGCTAATGGGGGTTCAAAGTGCATTTAAAAAAAATTATTTGGGTGCACACTAATGAAATGTGCTGCGCACGCCTATGACCACTTTATAAACAAACAAGTTACACATCACTCACGTCCCACCCTCTCACGTTTCTTAGATACCACCCATCACTAGGGATGTTAAAATTAGACTAATCAACTAATCAAATAGTCGATGGAATTTCTATGGACTATTCGATTAGTCAATAAGGGCGCTTCCACTTTGAAATGTAGCAAGAGCCCACCTGACTGTTGCTACATTTCAAAGGCAGAAGTGCATGCGGTGTTCCACCTTTGAAATGTACAAGAGTCCCTGCTGGGACTGGGGGTAATCCTAACCCTGCCCCCTAACACAGAGCTGGAGGGAACCCCCCCCCCCCCCCGAACTCTTTCTATCAGAAAGAGGCAGCAAACGGGGGAAAGCAACTAGTTGACTAGTGTGTCGACTATCTGATAAACAAAAGCTTATCGGATAGTTGATTAGTCGCTTTCATCCCTACCCATCGCTCTGTACCTCGCAGTTTGATTAGATCATCGCTGTCTATTATGCTGTCATTTTAGACCCTTTCCTGAACCTAGCTCTGTCTGTGGTGAGTGAGGGTACCAAGGTCTTTTTTAATGAGCTGGCGGTACCATCCTTTTGGAATGTGCTTTGAACTTATGACCAGTACCAATTACTGTTTTACAGTTGGTTCCTAGTACCAATTAATGTTCTATACCTGGGCCTATTGCCAATTAGTGTTTTACACTCTCAGCCCGGTTTGTGCCAAGTTCTATGAGTGGGGCCTACCTCTTGCTCACAACATAGCTTTGCTGTATGTTAGCCATGTTTTATCCTTTGTTAGCTAGGCCTCAGGCTTCAACCTGTGCTACATGGACTTTAGTTTTAGGCCTTCATCTTCCTACAGTCATAGTAGCATTTTGTAGATACATTGTCCCACACACTTCACAGTAAAACAGACTATAACATAGCCCGCTCCAACCCAGCCTATTTATTATTTGTTGAAAGACCCAGTCTCCTGTTAAACTAAATAGGGTTCTCTTTTTTTTATTTGACTGCCCTTTTATTTGATACCACTTGTCATCACCTACAGCCCCCAACTTAAACCTGTCCAACACATTATCAATAAACTACAGCCTATACTGGAACAGGATACTAAACTCCAAGAGGCTCTGGGAGACAGACCCATAGTTTCCTATAGACAACCACCTAACCTCAAGATGATTCTTACCAACAACCACAGGACATACCACACTAACACCAACCCTGGTACCTTCCCTTGCAACAAACCCCGTTGCCAGCTTTGTCCACATATTCACTCTGCTGATACCATTATTGGACCTAACCAAGTGAGTTATAAGATCAAGAACACATATTCCTGCGCATCCAGAAATATAATTTATGCTATCATGTGCCGAAAGTGTCCGTCTGCTATGTACATTGGACAAACATCTCAGACACTTCGCCAAAGGATTAATGCCCACAAAACAGATATCAGACAAGATCACAAAGAAAAAACAGTTTCTTGCCATTTTAACCAGAAAGGACACTCTCTCAATGACTTAACCACCTGCATTCTGCTACAAAGACCTTTTACATCTGCACTTGAAATGTAGCACTTTAAAGACTAACAAGATGGTTTATTAGATGATGAGCTTTCGTGGGCCAGACCCACTTCCTCAGATCAAATAGTGGAAGAAAATAGTCACAACCATATATACCAAAGGATACAATTTAAAAAAATGAACCCCAAATCCCCCTCCTGTTCTGAAATGTGATTTGTCCTTTTCATATGTGTTCACTTTTTTAAAATTGTATCCTTTGGTATATATGGTTGTGACTATTTTCTTCCACTATTTGATCTGAGGAAGTGGGTCTGGCCCACGAAAGCTCATCATCTAATAAACCATCTTGTTAGTCTTTAAAGTGCTACATAGTCCTGTATTTTGTTTCAGCTACACCAGACTAACACGGCTACATTTCTATCGCTTTTAAGATGTAGATTGATATGTTAGCTTACAAAGGCTTGGTGACATTTGTTTCTCTTCTCTTGTTAAGCAATCTGAGAATCTTTTATTCATGTGTGAGATGAAGAGACTGTAATGCAGCTCCTATTGCCTGTGGACCAGGAACTGTGGCTACTGGGCACTGACATGTCAGCAGCTGCTTAGGTAAACATAACGTCTGGTAGCCCACCAGTGGCTAATCCTTATGAACTGAATGCAGCTGGTACTCCAGAGGTTCCCCACTCCTGTTTTAACCCAACAAAGCAAATACCTTCTTAGTTAAGGTTTCATCCTTCACTTTGCTTTCTTGTTCTTGGGTATAGAAGGGAGACTCAGAAGATTAGTAATGATACGTACCAGAGTGAAATAATCCAGACCCTAAAGGTATAAAGGCATATTAAAATATTATGTTCTCATCAGAACTGCCCCCATTATGTGTTAAACCTAGAATGCCTAAATTTTACATTAATGATGTTCTTTGTGTATTTTCACTGGCTTACAGAATTTTTTGGGCATGTTTACTCTTTGTGGTTTTAGGCTTTTTTATTGTAGGCTGGGGTCCTTGTGGAATGGATCCCAAATATTTCTCCTCCTTTCTGCTTGATCTCAATTAAGGATATAGGTCACCCTTCCAAAACAGGGATTCAGTATTTAATTTCAGGTTTACTGGAATTTTTTGGAGTGTCACATGCCTCTTTCACTGTTAATTTTAGTAGAATGTTTCTCCCAGTTTTTTATCTAAATCTTTTTCATGTGGTTTTTCGATTTATAATAGTTTATATTTTTTCTCCATACTATGTAAACTGAAAAACTGTTGCACTCCACTTTTAGCTGGAATAGCTATTGACTCTATGATTTTCCTGCCTTTGGTTGTCCTGTTTATAGCATAAACTACTTACGAGAAATGCAGTGGACATGGATCACTTAAAAATAATGAACAAATAATTTGTATAGGACTAATATATAATCAAACGTAATGTTTGGGTCTTATGAGTCATTCCTGTGCTGTGCTTATAAAACCATTCTAGAACCATTAGTATATTCTGTGCACAATACAGGCATTATCCACATTGTTCTTTAGGACCCAGCTTTACAGGTAGAACACAACCCAATAACTGAAGAATTAGATAAATACCAACTGATTCTATTTGAATCTTTGAAAACGTGTTGCCCATTTTGTGGAGTGGGGATCCCAACAGCTTACTCACTCCAGCTGAATTTGGAGACAGTTCACCAGAGTTCAGTCCATGTGCAACAGAAGAAAATAATCTGTGTTCATAGTCAGGACTTAAAAAATTTTCCTTAACACTTACTCCAAGGACTAATTTTACTAATCCTAGATGAAAAATATCTGTAGTGCTACCTAGGGATATAATAGTGTAGTCGATTAACCAATTAACCTATAAGTTTTTGCTTATCAGTTAATGCTATATACTGCAAGCATTCCTCCTCTCCCTTGCCAGTACTTTTTTAGCAGACTGGCCAGCCTGTGTAGCTGCACCACCCTCTGCCCTGACACTTGCTGGGCTGTACAACCCTAAACAGGAAACATGACTGGGGGCAGAGCAGAGGGCAGTACAACACCACAGCTAGGAGGAGCAGCTGGCACAGGTATGCTGCAGTTCCCAGTGGTAGAATCCTGCAGATCAGCAGATACCAATTTCTCTCACGGATATCCACATCCACAGATAGATAAGTGTATCTGCACAGAGCTCTACTTCAAACTGACCTACAAAGGGGAGGGAAGAACTTGGAATTCTCCTCGTCCCCATCCCCCCTTTATTCTGTATGAAGAAGGCATGAGAGCTTTTTGTTTTTTCAGAGAAGAATGGACAGGGTATTTCTTGTTACATGATTCTGAATTGCATTAACAGGAGTGTTGTGAGCAAGACCGGAGAAGTCATTCTTCTGCTCTACTCTGTGCTGATTAGACCTCTGATGCAGTGTTGTATCCATTTCTGGGCACCACATTTCAAGAAAGATGTGGAGAAATTGGAGAAGGTCCAGAGAAGAGCAACAAGAATGATTAAAGGTCTAGAGAAGATGTCCTATGAGGGAAGACTGAAAGAATTGGGCTTGTTTAGTTTGGAAAGAAGACTTGGGGTGGACATTATAGTGGTTTTCAAGTATCTAAAAGGGTGTCATGAGGAGGAGGGAGAAAACTTGTTCATCTTGGCCTGTGAGGATAGGACAAGGAGTACTGCACAAAGGGATCTAGGGGTCATAGTGGAACACAAGCTAAATATGAGTCAACAGTGCACTCTACTGATTAGGCTTCAACTGGCATACGGTGTCCATTTTAGGAAATATAGAGAAACTGGAGAAGGTCCAGAGAAGAGCAAACAAGTGATGCAAGTTCTAGAAAACATGGCTCATGTGGAAATTTGAAAGAACTAGGTTTGTTTAGCCTGTAAAAGAGAAAACAGATGACATGACAGCAGTTTCAAGTATCTAAAAGGGTGTTACAAGGAAAAGGGAGAAAAATTGTTCTCCTTAGCCTCTGAAGACAGGACAAGCAGTGGGCTTACATTGTAGCAGGGGAATTTTAAGTTGGACATTAGGAAAAGTTTAACTGTCAGGGTGGTTAAACACTGGAATAAATTGTCCAAGGAGGCTGTGGAATCTCCATCTCTGGAGATATGTAAGAGTAGGTTAGACGGACATCTATGGGATGGTCTAGACCAGTGTGTCTCACCTTTTATTTATATTTATATATATTTATATATATAGTACACCTTTTTCAAAAAATAAAGAACCCCCAGTACCTATAGTTTTCAGACACACAATTTTTATTTCTACTATTGCAACACATTTGTTTAAACAACTTAATCGTAGCTGGGTGAGCGATTATAATTTTTGTACTTTTTACATCCAAAAATTTCAAGCGCAGTAAAACTTAAAACAAAAATTCAGTTCTCTCCACATTTCATTTGTGTTCATGTACCCCCCCAGCCTTCTCTCGAGTACCCCTAAGGGGACTTGTACCACTGGTTGCGATACACTGGTCTAGACAGTGCTTGGTCCTGCAGTGAGGGCAGGGAACTAGACTGGACTTTGATGACCTCTCGAGGTCCCTTCCAGTTCTAGTATTCTATGATTGAGACTCAGTTTCATGTCTTTTGTAGGACCCTGGACTCTGCCTGGGCTCCTGGAATCAGAAAGAAATGCTGTCAACTTGCATGTACTGTATTCCCATCCCCTAAGTATTCATAACTCGTGAATCAGTCTGCCTATCCCTCAAAAGGAGAATGACTTGTTGAAATCACAGATTTCACTTGGGGATCTTTTAATTTGACATCTGGTGTTTGAAGTATTTGGCTGAACTTGGGACACATTTCTTAGCTCTTTTCCACAAACCTTGAGACAAAGTTTTCCTTTTAAAAAAAGAAAAAGAATGCTGAGATTCTCTTCTAATACTGTGCATCAGCAAACAAGTCAATCTACTAAATCAGAGCAGTCAGTTAATCATGGCACATGAGCTGTGAAGTAGTGAAGTTCCCATATCTGGTTTAATTCTAATCAGGTGGGTGGGACTTTCTAGGGGGGGGAAAATCCCCAATTATCAGGAGGCTTGTGATCAAATCAGGAGAGTTGGCATCATGATATCTAGTCATTTTCACAAAACGAGTCAATAGTTTCACAGTTTATACCCGTGAAAGGGACATCTCTGCACACATCTCCCTCCCTCCCATTTCCCATCCCCACCCTTGGAGCAGGGATTTACTCTAGTCTTGCTGTATGGCCTCTGGAGGCAGCAGTGGCTTCCATGAGTTTTTATTCACCCAGGAGCAGCAGATGGGGGCCCAAGGGATGTGTGGGGTGAGTGCACGGGCCAGCAGGAGGGACCAGGAGATACACAGTGGAGGTGGAATAAGTGGAGGCCTGCGAAAGGGGGGTGCCCACTGGCCTGCTATGAGGATTGGCCCTAAGGTAAATTGAATTTGAGACTCCTGCTTTAGTACAGATTTTGAAAGAAACAGTGAAGACATGGAGGTAAATGGGAAACTAGATAAAATGCAATGTTGGCTTACTGAAGTTTGGGGGGGGGGGAGATCTGGACGAGGAAAATGTGGTAGATCTAATCTAGCTTGACTTCCATAAAGCATTCTTATAGTACCACATTGGTGGTAATTATTTAAGATGAAGAAAATAGGCATTAATACAAAAACTGCAAGGTGGGTGAAGAAATAGCTAAAGAGCAGATAACAGTGGGTTCTGCTGAGCTGAGAATCCTCCGTTTCGAGGGAGCTTACTAATGTAATTCCTCTGCATGCAATATGGTGGCAGGACTCTTCTGCTAATTTACCTTAACAGGTATTAAACTTAACCCAAAAAAACTTTTTTAGCTTTTTCCTGGAGGAGAAAAAATGAACCCAGGAAACCCCATAAAATGTTTATGATATTAAATACTCTTCATTTTCATAAACATTCCTCAAATGTGAGAGCGCTCACAATGACAAGCTTGCACTCCTATAAGCGGAACATATAATGTAGTTCCCTGTCTGCTAGCAAGCTAAACTAACCACTCTTGTTTCTGGCACTTGACACCAAATCCCTTTACTGATTTTTAATTGGGCTTTTCAGGGCACCCCTTATTACAAATTCTTTTGACAACACCAGTCTAAGGTGCTAAAACATGCTGAGTTGACTGGAATGTTTGAGTGTGTACAAATTAAAATGTTCAGCTGTCTGTGATTTTTGTACTTGCACAATTTTCCACCATCTTTATTCAGCAACTTGAGACAAATTTCTGCATAAATATGTATCTGCATTGTACAGTTTGCATCTTCTGTTAAAAATAATTCAGAATTTTTTCTTATGAGCCATGTTTCATCTTTCTTTGTTTGGACTCAACTTTTGACCTTTGTACAATAGAACCTCCATTACAAACACCAGAGTTACAAACTGACCAGTCAAGCACACACCTTATTTGTAACCCGCAGTATGTAATCAGGCAGTAGCAGGGACTTAAAAAAAACAACCCAAAATACAGGCACTCCCCATGTTACAGACATCTGCACATAGAAACAAAAGCTCACCTGCTGCCTCAGGGAACAGGCAAGAAGCGCAGGTGGTGGTGGGCAGCGCAAATGCTGACTGGAGGAGCAGGGAATGGTCACATAGCCAGCGGCTAGAGAGAAGTTGCGCTTTGAAGGGTAAACTGC